TGTTGACCAATCCCTGCAAGGTGCATACTGGAGGGCAGGCACCAGCCCAGGACCAGACTAAAAGTACGAAGCCATCAGGTTGTTTATAGGAAATGTCAATCAACCTGGACAGAAGTAGCAGATCCTGTAGGGTAGAAGGTAGGGCAAAGGCAACTCCTCAGGAAAATATCTCCAGTTCTTTTTCCGAAGAACCAAGGCAGAAGGCCACAGGAAGGAACTCATCACACCACACACCCACTGTCACAGGTCCTGGGCCATGGGGGCTCCCCAGTGAGCCCAGCAGTGGTTCCAGCAGGGGGTTGGATCTGTGCACAGGCTGGGGCTTGGCCTGCAGGACAGGCGAAGGTGGCCCCCAGAACTGAACCTTCAAGGACAGGTAGGAAGCAAAGGCTCCAGGGCCATTCCCAGCCTCCTTGCTGGTTGGCCTGTGTGTCCTGAAGGTTGGGGTTCTAGACAGAGGTCGCTGCAGGAGAACATTCCTCCACGAGAAGGTGAACTTCCCGAGTGGGAGAGCAGCACCTGCCGTGGTCCTCAGCAGATAGGCACTAGTAGATGGGCAGCACTGGAGTGCCTACTCGCCTTGGGCAGAAACCCCTGCACCCGCACCTGGAGGGCAAGTGTGGGCTTCCATCACAGAGCTGAGAGCCGTTTACAGGCAGCTTTATTCAAACGTTTTCAGTTTTATAAGTTAAATTCCAGAATCTGGCATCTTAGCAGCTGAACGGGATTTTTGAAGACATTTGGGAATCCTTGAGCAGCCATACATGTGTGTGGTGGTAGTGCAAAACTGTGTGCATGGGCACATGCATGTGTGTATGATTGTGGGTGTATAAATGTCCTTGTATGTGTGTGCATGTGCACACAAATGTGCAGTGTGTGTGCATGTGTGTGACCATGGAGGTGTGAGTGTGCATGTGTGTGGGTGTGACTGGAGGTGTGAGTGCACACGTGTGACCATGGACATGTGAGTGCACATGTGTGTGACCATGGGCGTGTGACTACACACGTGCATGGGTGTGACCATGGAGGTGTGAGTGCACACATGCACAGGTGTGATTGTGGAGGTATGAGTGCATGTGTGTCCATGTGCACATGCGTGAGTGTGACCATGGTGTGAGTGCACAGGTGCGACCATGGAAGTGTGTGTGTGTTTGTGTTTGCATGTGTGTGCATGTGCACATGCATGGGTGTGGTTGTGGAAGTGTGATTGTGTACATGCATGGGTGTGATCGTGGTGTGAGTGCGTGTGCATGGGTGTGATTGTGGTGTGAGTGCACACATACATGGGTGTATGTGCATATGTGTCCATGTGCATGTGATTGTGGAGGTGTAAGTGCATGTTTGCATGCATGTATGAGCATGTGTACATGTCACAAGTCTCCTGGCTTGTGAGTGAAGGTACCCTGCCCCCAGGGCTGTCTGGCACAGGGATGTGAGGACATGTGCATGCTCAGGCCAGGCCTTAGCGTTGCACCTGCTTATGCCCGGGCAGTGTGGATGTGCCCTGAGCTGCACTGCCTGTGGCGTTCCCAGCAGTGGAAGGTGACAGTACTCTTCTCGGGTTTTGATGAGAAATCCACGTGCAGGTGAGCCCACCCGGTGCCTGCAGCTCCCCACGGTGCCAGCAGGAAGCCCAGTGCAGGGCCCTTTCGGTGCAGACCAGCTCCTGCCCTGTCCCAAAGGGGCCTAGCTGCTGAGAGGTGGGACACCAGGGGCTGCTTGGAAAGCTGCAGCCCCAGAGGCGGGTGCACACCTAGCCGCTGCCCGGTCAGGAGGAGGGACCTGTGGAGTCCAGAACCGTCTAAGAGCAGAGGTTCTGACCACAGTGACACCACTGTCAGGATGGGCAGCCGATGTGTGTTACAGGCCAGAGGTAGGTGCCCAGGAAATAACACGAGAACGTGTGTGGGGCTTAGTCATAGTTGAAACTAAGAAACCCTGCAAGGCTAGCTCGCCAGCCTTCCCTGCAGTCAGGCGCATCTTTTTGGAGGTGATAAGTTTGATCGTGTAGTTCTTTCTCTCTGTTTCCCAGTTGGCTCACAGGGAATGAGCTGAGCTCGGACTGAGTCCCCCACGGTCCTGTGCCAACTGGTCCTGGGAAGACAGCCTGGACCACCCAAGGGGACAGTTGAAAGCCAGGTGCTTCCTTAGGAGAGTGTTGGAGTGACGGACACCTCCTCGTTACACAAGGTGGATGGATGGGGTTGCTTGTTCTGTGTTGTAAAAAACAGCACAAAAGCCAGTCAAGGCTTTGAAACCCAATGATTCTGACAGGGACTCCTTGGCAAAAGCACTGTGAAGCAGCTGAGGGGCTGGGTTTCCAAGTCAGGCCACATGCCAGTAAAGAGCTGGCAGATATGTCGTGCAGTCGGCTTTCTCTTAGTTCAGGAAGCACAAAATTCCTTTCTTGTATGGTCCCTCCCTGCGTCTCTGTTGACCGTGGACCTCTCGGGGACATGGGCTGGGTACAGCGGAGGGGGCTCCGCCCGGCCCAGGTCGGGTACCGCATGCTCTCAGGCTGCTTTTTTTCATGTTATTTCTGAGTCGGATGCCCACACACCTTCCTGTGTGAGCCCTTTGCTTCTCCCTGCGTATTGACTCCTTAGCCGGTGGTCACCAAGTCCATCTTATGGAGGGAGGGTCTCCCTCGTTTTTACTGACCCACCAAACATAATGTCCTTCTCCAGGGACTGGGCGGGCCCTCCTGAGAACATGTCCAAAGTATGAGAGATGAAGTCTGGCCAGCCTCGCCTCTAAGAAGCGTTTGGGCTACACTTCCTCCGAGTCAGATCTGTTCTTCTGGCAGTCCATGGACCATTCAGGGTTCTTCGCCAATAACACACTCTGAACGTATTAGTTCTGTCTTCTCTTTTCAGCGTCTAGCTTTCCTATGCATACAAGGCAATTGAAAAGAGCGAGGCTTGGGTCAGACGCACCTTAGTCTTCCGCGTGACGTTTAACAGCAGGAAGCCCTGTTGCCAAGGAGCTGTCATTTCAGAAGGGCTAGCAACCCCACAGAGATTGGAGGACGGTGAGCGGAGACAGGCTGGGCTGTCTCATGAGCGGAGACAGGCTGGGCTGTCTCGGGCTTTGTGAGCAGGTGTCACGCTGCCTGCTTTGTTGAGGCCCCAGCGAGGTGGCCTGTGCTGAAACCCAGGCCGACAGTGATGGTGAGCTGGCCCACAAGCCGTCTCACTGCCAGTCTCAAGTGCATCACAGTGAGCAGAGGGTACCAGCGCTCCCATTGTGCCCCTTCTGCTCACGGGCCGAGCAGCCACCCTGCTCCTGAGGACATCTGTCCCCAGCCCTTCTGCTTGCATGGCCAGACTTCCACAGCGGGCACAGGGCCACCTCGCAGCAGGTGCTGCACCCCTGCCCAGGGGGAAGACCTGCAGGGCTCCCTCTCCTCAGTGGAGGAGGAAGGAGGGGCGTCTCTCCTGAGTTGGGTGGGAACGCCGGAGGCTGAGGGGCAGAAGCAGAGAGTGTGCAGCAGGGCCGGGGGGGTGCTGTGTGCACGATCACTTTCTCTCCTCTGAATCTTTTTGGTAAAACTGATACACTTTTTAGTTGCTGCTGTCGTTCCTTGTGTGTGGTTTAATCCTAGAAGCTAGGTCCCAGGTATCTCAGATGCCCGCAGGTCACTCAATGTTGGGCAGGCTTCAGTGGAGGTTCCCGACTGAGAGGGACTAGGAGGAAGGGCCTCCTTCCAACAGTGAACCAAGGACAGCCCTGTGGGTCACACCAGAACACTCTCCCGCTTGTTGCTTTGACCCAGCAGCACCAGGGATCAGTTGCTAAGGGAGGACCAGTGGGGGCAGGGGACAGTGGGCAAAATGAGGACGCAGGACCGGCAGTGTTTCGTTCTGTCGTATGGAGGTCACCATGGGTGGACGCAAAGCCAGCAGCAGCTAACAACATAACCGCTGTTCCTTGGTGTGCTGCCATCACCCTCCGCCCCGCTCCATCCAGTCAGTCATTGTCTGACTGCTTGTCCCATGGGGAGGAGCCTGTGGGGGGGTCAGCAGACGAGGTCACAGCCCTGCTGTCCAATCCCTGCCCATGGCTCAAATCTTCACCGAGGACCTGGTTTGCGCCAGGCCCCATGGAGCTCACATGGGACACATCGTACAAACCTGGTCACGTGTTGAAGTGTTCAGAAGGAAAAGCACAGCATGCAGGGGGTGGGAACAGGGTGGCCCCTCCCAGAGGGGCCTGGAGATGGGCCTGAGCCAGGACGGGGAGGGGGCACCCGGGGCCTGAACCAGGATGGGGGGGGCACCCGGGGCCTGAGCCAGGATGGGGGGGGGCACCCGGGCTCTGAGCCTGGAGTCTGAGACCCTCATGGGCCCTCCACCTGGGGTCTCCTGCAGGACATGTGGCACCCCAGGAGATAGCTGCTCTGAGCCATGGCCCCCGGGGTGACGCTTCCCTTTGTTTAGCAGTTTGACACAAGCATACAGAAACTTCTAGCAACCAGAATTGCTGTTTACTTGATGACGTTTCTACTCGTGACCGTGGCATGGACGGCACACATCAGGTACGGGGGCCAGGGCTGCTTTTCAGGTACCAGAGTCAAAACATCCTGATGACCCTGTGTGGCTGCAGGACGGGCATGTGGGCACTGGGAAAGGGGGCCATCCTGGTCACTGTGTCCACTGGGATAGCAGGCCTGTGGCACAGAGCCAGGCTGTGTGCCCAGACTGGGGCACCTCACCCTCTCACGTGGAGCACGTTCTGGGGCTGCGGATGGCAGACCCTTCTTCCCACCCCACCCCCAGTGTTCTATCCATGTACCTCCACTTCCTCATCCACAAGTGACTGCAACAGGTCGAGGTGGGCACATGGCCATCAGGAGGGAGGGAAGACAAGGTAGGCAAATGGCCATTGTGAGGGATAGAGGTTGGGCCCGTGGCCATCAGGAGAGAAGACCAGGTGGGCATGTGGCTGTCGTCAGGAGGGAGGGAAGAACAGGTGGGCCCGTGGCCATCGGGGGAGGGAGGGAAGACCAGGTGGGCCCGTGGCCATCAGGAGGGAAGAAGACCAGGTGGGCACATGGCTGTCATCGGGAGGGAGGGAAGACCAGGTGGGCATGTGGGCATCAGGAGGGGGTGTTCTGGTTCCCTAGTACCACTGTGACAAGAATATACCACAAATGGGATGGCCTTAACAAACAGGAGTTTATTCTCTCACAGTTTGAAGGTTTTAAGTATAAGTGCCAGGCTGTAGGGGCTGGGTAAAAGCCCCTCAACCTTGGGATCCACCTCTACCTCCTGCTCCCAGCCCGCTGGAGCTAGAGGCGTTTCTTCACTTGGACAGCTGCTGGCTGCTGAGGCTGACAAGCCCAAGGTTGACAAGTAAAAAGGCACAGGCCTGATGTTACCAAACCACACGGCAGGCCATTAATTTAAGTCCATTGTAAGTCCCAAGGTCGGCAGAGCATGGCAGGCTGCTGAACAACGACACGGCTACATGCAGGGTCCAAGCACGCCATAGGCTAGAGACCATTCCCAAGGCTTCTCCTTACATGCAGGAAGCAGACCACAGCCCAAAGGCAGCTACTTAGCCGCTTGTGGTAGATCCCACCATGGAGTTGATTGCCAGTCTCATGATGGGAAATAACTACCACCAGCTGCCCAGCCACTCAGCCAGGCCCAGCCAAGTTGACATACAAGTTTAACTGCCACAGGAGGGAAGACCAGGTGGGCATGTGGCCATTAGGTGGGAGGGAAGGAAGACCAGGCACGTGGCCTTTGGGAATGGGGGAGGGTCAGGGGCACAAGATGGGCATGTGCCCATCAAGAAGGTGAGACGGCCAGGTGGGCACGTGGCTGTTCTCAGGAGGGAGGGAAGACCAGGTGGGCATGTGGCTATCGGGGGGGTGGGGGACAAGGTGGGCACATGCACATTGGGTAGGAAAGAGAGAGTATGAGGTGGGAGGAAGTGATAACGAGATGGGTGGCCATCAGAAGCAAGAAAATGGGAGGTGTGGCCACGAGGGGGAGGATGAGGAGGGTGTGGCCATGAGGGGTGTGTGGCTGCCCAGGCCTGGCCTTGGCACCCTCCATGTACATCAATGTGACCATCAGGAGGTAACATGTTGCCGAGCCTGGGTTGGAGCCTTGCAGGCCTGGCCTAGCACTGCCACCTGCCAGCTTGCTCTGTAAGGTGGGAACGGGCAGAGTACCCACCTCCTCGAGGTGCCGTGAGAACTGGAGAGACGGGCAGAGAGAGGTGGAGTTATCTGCTGCGTCACCTCTCGGTCACTGCCACCTGCTGCCCACTCCCTGGAGCCACAGCAGTGGAGCTCACTCAGCCTGCACGGCCACCCGCATACCACCCTCTGGGTCTGGGACCCCAGCAAGGAGGGCCGAGCTGCAGAGGGGATTTTGTGTTCCATGGCCTGAGCCGGCCCTCGAGAGCCCGGTACACACTTCCTGGTACTGGGGAGTGTTCTGTGTCCAGTTTTAATTGAAGTCTTACTGCATTGGTGTATAACCATCTCTCCGTTGACAGTTCCAACAGGTATGATGTAGGCTGTCTCTGAAAGCAAATAGGAGAGGCAGTGGGGACACAGCTTGGTTTACTGTTGAGCTGACAGTCCACCCCACAGAGTGTGGCACAGAGCTTGGTCTTCCGGGGAAGGGCTGTCCAGAACACTGGACTCGAGAGGCTTGGCCCTCCCAGCTCAGGGCGGCCCACCTCAGGGACTAGCCTCCTGGAGGCCGCCCCCTGCTGTGGGACCCCACACACAGCCCTGCCCTCTCAGGACAGGCTTGCCCCTGACAGCCAGGGAGAGGACTTAGGGCCTGCGTCTGCGTGGTAGACAGTCAACAGTGTCCTCCAACACGTTGCAAATCAGACACCTGTGTTTCTACACATTAATTCTGCAGCTCTTGAAAGCGAGGCACCTCCTTAGAAGAAAGCTGACGGGAAGGACACGTCAAACAAGTGGTTTCTCTTCCAAAACCAAAACTAAACTCACTGCCATAGAGTCAGATCCGACTCATAGCGACCTCTCCTTGGGTTTCCAAGGCGGTACCAGCAGAGAAGTAGATTGCCCCACCTCTTAGGGAATGTGAAGCTGTATTGCTTTTCTTCTATATGTTTCCAGTGTTTTTAAAATTTCTAAACAAGCAGCATCTCTAAATGATGTCTGAATCAGAAAATTCTGGAAAGTGTGTGTGTATTTCACATTATTTCACCAGGACTGTGTTTTATTGACGACATGCTTTTTCCTGTTTTTTCTCTTTTTTCATCAAACTGTGTAGATTGTTCCAGGTTGTTGGGAAAATAGATGATACGCTGGCCTTGCTCAACTTGGTGAGTCTTTCCTGTCATTTCTGGGCCATGATTTTAATTTTCAAGACAAACCTGCGAGGAGGCGTAAAAGGCAGCGGGGCAGCCTCCTGGGGCTGCCCTGTGGGTCTGCGGAGCCCAGCGTCCGCCCCACAGCCAGGAGCTCCTGACTGCCCTCCCCTCTGGGCCTCCAGCCCACAAACGCAGGGCAGCAGGCACATGGGGGGGTTTGGGAACCCATGGGACATCGGGTATTTGGTATGCACGGTGTCAGGGACACGCGAGGCGGCAGGGACACCAGGGTGGCGAGGACTTGCTGGGTGGCGAGGCTGTGTGGTTTTAAATCAGAGCCCCAAGTATGAGCCACGCTTGCTCCCGCCTGGCCTCATGACGTGAAGAGGCTGCAAAGATGCCCCTCCTGCCCTGTCTGGGCTGGTCTGGGGGCTTGGATTCACCCAGCCCCTGCCCTGCTGGGCCCCGCGTGGCCTGTGGGGCTCTGCACAGCAGCCCGCGTGGCCTGCCTTCTTCCCTTCCAGGCCTGCATGATGACCATCACGTTCCTGCCATACACCGTGAGTCACACCCTGTTCCTCGAGGGCTTTCCCTGAACCCACCCTGGGGACCAACCTCTCCTCCGCCAGGCCAGGGGCAAGGACAGAGAATCCCAGATGCCCACCCTAAGGACTTGGGGCCAGCCCAGGAGAGGGGGCACCCTGATGTATGGGAGAGCAAGAGTGTCCCCAGGAGGCCGCAGTCAGGGAGGGCCGCCTGAGAGAGGGGAGATGGGTGGGAGGAAGCGTGGACACTGGCCTCACGGGAGGCAGGCAGCTCCCCACCCCACAGGCCCCCTTCATCCCTCCCCCCAGGCCCCCCTCCACCACTCCCCTCATAGACCCCCATCCCGCCCCTCCTTGAGCTCTGGCTGCCTTTCAGACATCTGCCCAGAGACACACATGGCCCAGTGCCCCTACCCACTGACAGCTCTGCAGCTAGAAAGTACGCAGCCCCGGACAGGAGAGGCCACGGGACCACGTTGCTCCCCAAACCCCTTCCCCAGAAGCCCCTCCTGTTCCCCTCTCTGCCCTACAGTTTTCTTTAATGGTGGCCTTCCCTGATGTGCCTCTGGGCATCTTCCTGTTCTGTGCTTGTGTCATCACCATCGGGCTCGTTCAGGTAGGAGGCTCGGGTCTGCACCGTGTGTGTTCACATAGGAGGCTCGGGTCTGCGCCCTGTGTGTGTGTGTTCAC